GAGAGAGATTACCGGCAAGGTTGTGAACATAATCTAGAACGAATATATGAAAAAAAATGCCCACGGAAAAAACTCCCATAACCTGCAAAGTGCAAAAAATGTCCACTTGAATATTTTTATTGCTTTAATTTGCGCAGAGTGTTGCAAGCACTCCAAGAACGACAAAATCCGGTGGCGCTGTGCCCTGCGGTCCCTTTCGTGTGGGGGAATACGGACGCAGACTGCACCGATCCCTGCCCAGGAGCAGAACATAACCATGCTCCGGACATGACAGCTATCAAGATCAACAAATGTCGTTTCTCCATGAAGCAGCGAGCAGCCAAGACGTGTGACAAAACAAGTGTTATCTACTCGCAAGCCATGATGCATTTGGATGACGATCCTCGTGCGATTTTGCCATCAGAGGCATCCATCTCTCTGCAAAACCAACGCAGCTCTTTCCGACTGAACCGACATCTCTTTTCAGACGTCCTGAGGAGTTCCATTCACTTGTCATATACAAATCCTGTCACATATTCAGAGTCTTGAGCCTATGACAATCCTTATGATAGGCCTTCGCATTGAAGGCATGTGGGCAACAACGGGTGGCTCAAATTCGCCACCATTCCTCTTCTATGACAATGGTTTAGATGCCCAGAATATGAATAACAAATGAAAGCAATAAAAATATTCAAGTGGACATTTTTTGCACTTTGCAGGTTATGGGAGTTTTTTCCGTGGGCATTTTTTTCATATATTCGTTCTAGATTATGTTCACAACCTTGCCGGTAATCTCTCTCCTGCTCTTCAATCTTCCCCATCCATAGCCGCCAACATTCATTCGCAACCGTTTCTCGCTTGAGAAATTCTTTCCTGGAGTGGGCGTCAGGCAATCCCTACCCCAATGTTTTTATCTCTTTTCTCTCGCTTGCCTTCGTTCTTCGACTTTTGCCATGAGACAATTAATTTCTCTGACAGCTCTGTGACTCTCATACGATTAGATTCGAGCCGAATGCATAGGAATGATGCTCAATGACCCGCAGTGCGGCTTTGCCGCAGCTCTTCGCAGTCAGTGTGCATCGGCCTTAACTCTGTTCAACTGATTCCCGTAGGGGACCATTGTGAGATCAGATTAGTTTTGCTTAAACGGATTCGGTGCATGTCACCCGATGGATAGTGCCTACCCCATCTTTTTTTTTTTCCTTCACAAGTTCCACGAGGCAGGTGCGCGAATGGGCCACACCTAAAAAACATAACCGCGGATGGCATTGTAGGAGCTACTGCTTCCTCTTAGGTGGAAATGCTGAAGAAAGGTGTAAGATGCCGATTCGAGCTGTGATGAGGAAGAAGTATCAAGGGTCGCTATTAAGTTTTGGGAATCGATACCAAAGAAAATTGCCAAATACAGGATGAGGCGAAATTTAGGTACCCCAATTAACAATATGTTATTAACATGTATCAATTCAAGGAAACTATTGTGCCAATATTAGAACAGCATCAACAGTTCAACGGAATTTTTCGGCATGTTTGTGCAATACCACATTACCATCGCAGCATTCGACGGTTCAAATACAGACCGATGATTATATTTTCATTTTATTCCTGAAAAATTTAGAGTATACAATTTTTTCCTATTCCAGTTCAGAATTCCCCCCCCCCCCCCCCATTTTCTTTCAAGCCATAAGTGGTTGATGGAAGACAAACTCAGGAATCGATTGTTACAATCCAGGTACAGTACTGACTTGTGCCACAGACTTGAGGGGGAAAGGCCATAGAGGATGGAGAAGATAAACCAGGTGGGGATAAAAGGAACTTCCACTAATGAGCCACACGGAATTCGTTCTGATCCAGGTGGTTTGGAACAGGCAACAGCTTGTGCCTATAGCACGTGGTCCCCACCAGGTACAAGTGGTAGCCCACCAACTACTTTTCCATGATAAAGCTGTCTGTCCACTGCCTACATGCTACTCCTGTTTGATAACTGAGACCATATCTGCCACTGTACAGTGGCACAAAAGTGGTCAAAACAGGGCAAAAGTAAAAATACTAAATTTACAGGGAATATGAAGATTACTTATTTTATAGAATTAGAAATGTACAGATACCTCTAGATTGGATATATTATTTCCAGATTTAATCCTTCATGGAAATCAGAGAAATTACTTTCTTTTTTCATGATTTTTTTTTTTGAGGGGTTCACTTGAGAAATGAAAAAAAAGTTTTGGAGGAATCATGACTTCTTTATAATGATGGATTCATGGAACATCATGATCTGCATCATCAGCAATGAATTATCATGTATAGGAGGGAATTTGCAGGTTCAACGGAAACCAACATCACAACAAGGCAGATTACAGGAAGAGCAACGTGTAAAAAAATTGAAGACACCTGTATGGGTAAAGAACAACCAAAATAGGTTCTTCCAAAAATGAAATAACTCAAGCTGAAAAAAATGAATCAGACAGAGAATAAACATGATATGATAGATTTTTTTTTTGTGATCAATTCACTATGTACAATTGCAGTATTGAATTCATACTTCTGTGGAGAAATAAAAGATGGAGGATCTCACTGCTTTCAGGGTATCAGAAAAAAAACCAATAGCAAATCTCAGGTCATTTATCCAAATTAGTGAATGCATAGACAATTACCCCTACTTATGAACTCTTGGAAGAAGTTGATCTTGCCTTCTGCAATGCATCTTATGTATGTATATATATATATATGTATATATATGTATGTATGTATATATGTATGCCTATATACACACATGCACACAGACAGAAATTATGAGAGTAGAGAGGGAGACTTCTACTCTGATGATATTTACAGGAGCAGGCAATCACAACAAGGATTGATCACACACACAGATTAAATTTATGAGCAATGGAGACAGAACACAGATACATCCAAGAAGCAGGGACTATCTTGTAAACTTCATTTCAAGATTAACTGAGCTTGTTTAGTCTGGTTCATTTAGCCGGGCAAACCAGAAAAACCAACACTGAAACTATGTCAAACTTGTACCTGAAGTACATTCAACCTGGGAGGGAAAAACTCCAAACCACTCAAAGAAAAAACAAAACTGAAATTAATACAAGAAAATAGTATGTTTGAAAAATAGACAATATGAACAGACAAAGAAGTAATCCTAGCATACCTTGTGAATCTTGCATATCATGAACCTTGAGGTAAATGGGTCAGCTTAACACTACGCAGAAAACTGACACTCGCACAAAAAAGAGATCGACGTAGTGATGTCCTACTCTCATTGATACATGACATGTACGGTCTATGCATGAAGAGCCCTTGTGAGAAGAGGAGGAAATGTTTCTTGCCCACTGAGGCAATTGTTCTATGATACAATGCTGAGACCAAATTGCAGGAGAACCGTGGCATGAGTGCAACGGATAAAGACCAACAATGCACATGTCAACGGGGAACCATTTTGTCTCCACCGTTGGAACCCTGAGAAAACACGATGGCTATAGCCCCAAGAGTGCATAGCAGCATCGTTTCCAACATCTCAACTTTGTTAATAAATAAATTGAAGCAGCTAAAGAGAAACGTCTTTGAAAGAAAAAGAGACAAGAATTTATATTTGCTAAATTGAGTGAAAAACCATAGGTTGGAGATCGAACGTCAAATAAACTTCATAGACAGAAATTATGCTAGGCATCCTGGCCAAAAAAAAAGTGAGGAGACCTAGAAGAATGCCCAGGGTCATACAGGGGAGGACTGCTGCAAGACAGTGGTGATGCGTTGCCACAAGTCTTTTTTGCAAGATTTTGACCGACGGAGACTCTGGAGGAGCTCATTGAACTGGACAATGCCACCTGGTGTAAGCTGGAATGCACTGCGTGCTGTGCATAGGATTGACACAAATTCCTCATACTCAGCCGGAGAGATGTGAAAGAGACGCTGATGTGTACACTGGATAAACATTTGTTGACACTTTTGTACAAGTGGAGTGAGCACAGGGCTGCGCAGGTGCTGTGGATAATGTGTTGGATTCCCACGTGATAAATACTTGGCTGCCTCAATGGTGATGTCGTGAATCACAAATGGGCTCACGACTGAATTCACAGCACAATAGCAGAATTGGTGCAAATGGACTGTTCCAAGTCGCTTGGCCACCCCTATGGAGATAAAATAATTAACTTAGGTAATAAATAGTTACACAACTATATAAATATGGAATGCTTGGTATTCCATGTTTTCATGAATACCAAGCATTCCATATACAGGGTGAGCCATAATATCTCATACAAAGACTTTTGATTCGTGAATATTGATTTTGAGACACAGAAGCATCAGATTTCAAATATATAATCATTGCAACATAAACTTCACATAGGAATTATTAAACTTGAAAGCAACCCCCTTTGGCCTTCACACAGGCTGACAATCTTCCTCACCAGCTATGGATTGCAGTACGCACCTCTTCCATCAGGAGATTGCTCCAAGCTTTCACAAGGGAGTGCTTTAGGGACTCCACATTTGGATGATTCCTACTGCAGGCCATCTGCTCCAACTTGGACCAAACACAGTAGTCCATAAGATTCAGATCAGGTGAGGAGGCAGGCCATTCAGCAGTGGATATGAAGCCCGGCAAATTGTCCTGGCACCAGTTTTGAGTGGCACAGGCCTTGTGGGCTGGTGCTGAATCCTGCTGGAACCACCATTCCCCATTTCTGAACAGATCATGTGTCAGGGGGCTGCACATGAGGCTCAGAATATCTGCTAATAGTTCCCCTTTTGAATTTTGACCCCTTGATCCACAAAAGTCATGTCCATGGCAGACACTCCAGCCCAAAACATCACCGACACCGGATGTTGCATCCTCTGCATCTTATTGACACTCTCAGGCAACTCCATAACACTGTTGTTTTGGGTTTTCCACTTAGCTTCCACATGGAACAGCTTCTCATCAGAAAACAGGATTCAATCCAATTTGTCAGGCGTGAACTGCTGTAGCAGAGCCCGACATTTTCCTTCCTGGCAAGTTGGTCCATTGGTTGAGCATTTGAGTCTTTCACATCTTCAAAGGCTTCAACCCAAGATTCTCCTTCAGCACTCACTACATGGTTGTGTTTGAAGTATCCATCTCGATTGCCAATTTTTGGCCCAAACGCCAATGGTTCTGCTAGATCTGTGCCTTCACATTCTTGCTCACATTCTCAAGCTTTGCTGTGCAAACAGAACGTGGTTGGCCAGCATGCTTCCTGTAACTGACACCTCCAGTCTCATGATAATGCCTGAGAGTACAATAAATGAAGTCTCACTAATAACCACTGGACTGGAGTTGACAAAAGATGTTCTCTGGGCTTTGGCCATTCTGGAACAGCTCAATCACAGCCTCTCACAATCTCAATCTTCAGCTTCAAGGCGTCCATAACGCAAAACGTAATGCAGTACAATATTGAAGTTTCACCCACACATATACCAGTTGGATGGAACAAATGGGAAAATAACATTGAGCTCAACTTCTTGAGCTCTTTTAGCCTATATAGAAGTTTGTATGAGATATTATTGCTCATCCTGTACACTACACTTGATACAAGCCATGCAAAATTCAAATTTCACCATACAAGCAACCTTGATACTAATTGACAATTTTGATAACTGCTCCAATGGATACTAACATTATCTCTGAGGTTTCAAGGAGGCAGGTGCAAATCACAACTCCTATGATGCCATTGTAATCCTGGCAAGTTATTTTTGCAATAGAGCAGCTATCTAAACTACAAATAACAGACCTTGTTATATTGCAAGTTGCAGTAAAAGTGATTGCCATGTCATAGCTACTTTTCCTGAAAGAAAGTTCCACAGAGTCCTAAGTTTCTTTCTTTCAAGGGTGAGGTTGGAGAAAAACATGAGAAAAAACAGATTTGAATGTGATCCAAGCAAATGAGATTTCAACTTCTAAAGAGGGGGATTTCTATGACAGAAGTTCACCCTGTAGCAGGGAATTTTTTTTGAGACTTATAATTAGTGTTTGAGTAAAAATGTACTACTATTTTTTGATATGTTGAACTCATATGTGGAGCACTTCACCATGTCAGATACATATAGCATACCTACTTGAGAGCTTTTACAAATTCTGAATTTGTCATGCTCAGCAGAAGGAAATGGAAAATTGGCTATGTTTCAGTTACTGTTGGCTTGAAGAGACTTCCTTGCAAGGAAGAGTTTTGCCACTCAATAAGATATAACAACCATATTTAATGTGTATGGTCACTAAGGGGTGAAAAATTTTCAGAAATCAGAGGGTATAGGGGCAAATTTTCAGTCTAATGGGAAATGTTCAAGCAATTCAATGCATGTGATGCAAGATCATTTTTTCAGCACCTCTATTTAAGTCGTGCAATGCCCATTTAGGGTGCCTGCACACCAAATCAGTCTAGTCTGGTCTAGTCACGATTAGTAAAGTCAAAACGTTTAGAGCCCATAGATCAACATGCAATGACTGAAACTGCCTTCACACTGGATCAGCCTAGTCAAGTCAAGTCAAAACTTTTACAGCTCCATTGCTAAACATGCTCTTTCTGATATCCACTTCACACTGCATCAGTTAAGTCTAATCTAGTCCTCGTCAGTCATGTTTAGTTAAGACGCAAATAGGCACAGGCTCTATTTTTCCATCAGTCTTTTATCAGTCTCTAGTGTGGTATGGGACTTGAAGGCATGAGCAAAATGGGTTCCCAAGTGGAAGTACTGATTCTTTGGTTCTCGAAAGGCCTGAGATCTACAACCCTGCCTCGTTTTTTTATTTATCCATTTTTCCCTCATCACTATGCCTCAACTCCATCTTCTTGTCCTGCTAGTGCTGCTCTGTACTACGAATCAAGGCTTCTGTACGCTCACACAACACAGGAGCACGCTCATGCTACCTGAACTCAAAGTTCACCTTCACATGGAAGCGAAGGGGCAATGACTGTTGAAAATGAGTTCCCTTTATCCCTCATTTGATATTGATTGGGTTTGATTGAGATAGAGCGGCTTCTGATTGCGCAAATGAACTGGAGAATGAGACAGGTCATGAGATGCGAAATGACACCATCTTCTTCTTGAATCGCTCCAGCTCTTGCACTAGCTTACAGGACATGAACTGTTAATTAGTGAGATAGGTGTGACATATAGAGAAACATGGTCTCAGCTTGCAACTGATGACCTGGCATTCTTTATCTGGCACATATTTGCGATCCCATAGGACCCTCCCCTTTCTTGTGCATTAGAAATAAAGGGGTTGAAGAGCAAATTCTTCATTACCTCATTGCATATAGCCCTCATCGGAGAGTTACCCATGGAATTATGTTTGCGACTCTCCTCTGTGACTCCTAGCCGTTACTCTGGAGGGATAGCCCTTTGGTAGTTGGTGTTTTGCTTCTCTGTGTGGAGTTATGAAATGCAAGAGTTTCTCAAAAGAAGATATCCTCATGCAAAAATACCAAAAGAACCGCTCAGAGTCTTTCTAAAATTCAGTGAAAAGGTGATGGTATTCATCAAATTGCTGCTTTTGGGAATTAATGGGATGCACCCACAACTTTTGCCATCTCTTTCTCCATCACCACAACAAAACATGGGTAGACCCCAGTTCTTTCTCACTCTCCTCCAAGCTGCACAACAAGACCACCACTGGAGCAGATGGTGAACTGAACTGGTATTACAGTTGTGTGTGCATAATCACCTGACTGAAGGGACTGGACTGACCAATGACTAAACGTGACTAGACTTGACTGATTTGATGTTGAGGTATCTGTTGGTAGTGTGGTGAATGCTTGACTGAACCATGACTAACCTTGACTGGACTGGACTGGACTGGACTGGACTAGACTAGACTAGACTAGACTAGACTGATCTGGTGTGAAGGTACCCTTAGAGGTTAATTAAAGGTGCTTAGAGCCGCACCATTACCCCTCAAGTGAGGTGATTACCTGTGCTTGACCGTCTCAGAATTCAATGAATTTTTCAACTTTAACTCTTCAAGGGACAGTTGGATCCAGCTGATATTTGACAGAGAGGTTCATGAGTCTAGAGGTTACTTTCACTTCCCCAAGATGGCGCTGCATCCTGATACAGGGCGCTGCTGTTAACCGAGCGACCAAAGATGATTTTAAAAAATGTTTAATGCTCCACCTGTAAACTGTGTCATAGGACAATACATGGCTCAGAGAATTGTTCAGAAAAAAAAGACAATCTTTTCAACACCTCCTATATGGACAATCAGGAGTTTATGAATCTCATATTTTTTTTACTCAAATACACAAATCGTACTATCTCCCATTAGAAAATGGTGGAGCTTTTTTTTAATCACCCTCGGTTACCTAGTCAACAACAGTGCCCTCTATTGGGATACAGTGCCATCTTGGGGAAGTGAAAATAGCCGCTTAAGACTTATGAACCTCTCTCAAATATCAGCTGGATCCAACTGTCCCTTGAAAAGTTAAAGCTGAAAAATTCATTGAATTCTGAGACAGTCGAGCACAGGTAGGTGATCATCTCACTTGAGGTGGAATGATCCACCTCTAAGCACCTTTCATTCACCTCTAAATGGGTATTGCATGACTTAGGCAGGGGTGCCGAAAAAAAAGCTGGCAGGCATTTCAACACCTTGTAACTGTCTAATATCGATTGCATATTCAATGTAATTTTTTTTGCTCCATTTATGAAACTATGTTTCTCCCAAAGAAAACAGTAGAGTGTTTTTTTTTTTAACCACCGTATATACTCAAACAAAATGGAATTTCATTTATCTAATTGGAAATATACGACTCCCTCCTGATATACTGAAATTCCAATTCTCATTCATATTGAAATTCTGGAGGCTTCATCAACTTCATTATAATGAGAGTCAAATGTACAAATGTGTAAGGATGAAAATCTGCATCAAGGAAAAGTGCTGCTATAGCAAGGTCGAAGACCTCAAGTTTCAATGAGCCTGTAAACACACTGGTGATGTGGAGTAACAGATTCAGCTCTATGGCATGTTGCATGCTTTTCTTTAAAGGCAGAGGAAATCTGCTTACCAAGAAGCCATTTGACATCTTCCCCATATGGAGGATTGCGGGCATATTTGGCTTGAGGTCGGTCATCATGAACCTTTCGGGCTAATGTCTCCATAGCCAGCATTCCCACTCGATATGCTGAGAGTAGGTAGTTCAGCTGCTGCTGGGTCACTTGAGTTGATGGTTGCAGAGCCCCACGATTCTAAAATACAGAACAAAGAATAAATGGCTCACTGTCCCTAGCAGGGTAATTGGCTCTTCTCTAGTGTGCTAAAATCACCTGATAATGATGTGGAGGAACAGATCCTGCCTGAGCAGATGTAATAGGAGGGGGCATGGAATTATTAGGAGCCATGGACAGTGCTGGAGTCTGAGGAGGAGGACCCCGGAGCAGATGTCCTGCACCAGGAGCCAGAAGAACTGCAGGAGAGGGTGGAGCACGAAGACTTGCCAGAGTGACAGCTGGAGGGCAGAATGGAGGTGCAGCCAATATCTGAGGAGGGAGGGGTGGTTGGAACTGTGGAGCAAAATTATGAGGAGCCATGTAGATCTGGCCATGAAACGAGGGGAGATATGTGAGGCTGGGATAGGGGTATGTTGCCAAGCCAATAGGAAACGGATAGGCTGAGGCAGTGGAGATGGTTGGGGTGGAATTGCAGGATGCTGTCACAGTTATAGGAGGTCCCAGTGGAAGTGGGGGAGGTGGTGGTGGAGGAAGTTCCATCTGAACTCCTTCCAGAATTGGGTGTGCCATGTCTCCATCATCCAATTGATCACTGTGATGCAGGTAGAGGTCATACCAACAGTGGGCCACACCAAAGAGTACCTCAGGTGCTACACCTCCACCCTTGGCTGCACCCTCCACAGCAAGACAGGCTTGCTCCAGCAAGGCCTCACTCTGTTCTTTGCACTGTAAATGAGACCAAACTTGTTTTTCAACCTTAACATCTATGGCTTAATCAATCAAATGCAATTTTGTGAAAGATCATTCAAAGCATGGGGATTCAGATAGCATTTGGACAGTGCCCAAAAGAATCCTAATCCCTCATGCCGTTTCTATGTACTTAGTTTGGTTTTCACACTGCCATAAATGAACTGTCTTAGCTTTGCTATGACAGTTTTCATAAGTTTGAGTTGTCTGATTTTAGTAATCTTTGGACTAATGTGCAAAGCATGTTCAGAAATATACAGCAAATCCATTCCAGGCAGAATGGCTGTTCTGGTTGGGAAACTGCGGAAAAGTTGTAATTTAAATGTATGCTTGTCTTATGTCAGGGTATTTAAAAACTGAGCATTTGAGGGGTTAAAGAACTTCATAAAAACAAATTTTTTTTTTTATCAGAGAAAAATAGCTCACATCCATGTAAAATTTCTCTCAGGATCATAGACTTAGGAATGATTTTTATTGTATGTTGAAATTTCTTTCTTCAAGACTGCATGTACTACTTCCTGTTGTATTTCATGAAACTTCACATGACTTTGTTAATTAGCAACAAGGTCACTGGGAACACTACTGGCATCACCTGACAAAATAGGCATGAACCTAAGCAAGTAGCATCTGCATGGATACTGACAAGAGATTCAAACTCTCCTATCCTCAAGGATGAATTTTATTGAGTGTTCACTGGTAAGCTACTTGCATTCGTGACCATATTTAACTACAAGAAAAATATGAACTGCAATGTGCGGGATATGTGTAGAGACAAGACCTGGATGATGGCACGCTGGATTTCACTTGGATTAAGTGCATGAGCATGAGGAAGACAGGAGAGAGCAAGCTCAGCAGCAGCTCGCACCATGGTGGCATCACGGGATCGAGATGCTCGATCGGCCAAGTTTGCTACCTCTGGTGGGGTTAGGTGTCCCTCCCATGTCCCCATGAGGAAGTTGATGGCTGGTGCTCCTATCTCCAAAGCTTGCCCTTCAGAAGTAAAACATCAAACAAAAATGCAGCAGTGAGAATGCAACAAGACCAACTTTGACACATAAAAGGTGCACAAACCAGCAATCCAAGATACATGTGATGAGTAAGTGCGGGAAAGCCAATTTGGAGACACACAATTGTGGAGGCCCAGTGCATAGAGTCCAATTTGAAATGCACACATGTGGAGAGCACGGTGTGGCCCTCGGGGATTTTGTGATGCCGATGGCTGCAAAGAATAAGATTCTGGTTAAGCCACATCTCCCATTTTCACACAATACATTCTGAAAGAATGTTTCAAGTCACAGGGTAACTTTAAGAGTAACCCATAGCAGACCAAATAAGAGTTACCTCCTAGTAAACCTAGTAAAGTATTGCATTATGATGAAATTTGAGATCAAAACAAAATTTGAGAACATATAGAAAAATTATTTTAAGCATGTATTTTGCCTAATGAGGCCAAATGGCATCATACCTCTATCACACAGATCATAATTTCCACTCCAAAAATTCATAGTTAAATATATTTGTAAAAATTTCAAACTAAATGATAAGATTTAATACCTTTTATTTGCCACATTTTCATAATTCATGCAATAGAGGGTTAAGTAAAGGGGCAAGTCAAGGCCCACCCATGATTACATGGTATATTACCATTGCCTCACTTGCCTATTTTGTGTTGACCCCCCACTATGCATGATACCCTGAACCAACTGAATGACAAGAAAATGTTAGCAATGGGCTTCCATGATCTTCCATCATGGTATGAGATGCACTGCACTCTGGGACAGGGCTAAAAGTAGTAGAGGTAAGAATGGACTTTCCTACCAACTGCTATTCATTAGCATGTCCCCTAAGAAAGCTGTGAGCACCTGCTGAGCTGCCTTCATGTTGTTAACTAATTTTATAGACCAAGGACATGCTGTACATACCTCCCACCAGGCAGTCACATGTTGCCAAGTCCAAAAGTTAAGATCCACCACACCAAATATATGCATGGGTGGGTATTGACTTGCAACAATATAGTGCACATGCAAGGAATACTTTTTAAAGGTTTTCAATTTTCAAGAGTACCTCAGTGAAGAGAGATGTAGTACTGCTTCCTCCTGCCTTCTGGAGAACTGCCTTGGCCATTTCAAACATGGAATGTGCTCCAGCCTCAGAAGGCTGATTTGGAACTGTAGGATAAACCCGCTTCCCCTTGAACCTACTTCAACAACACAGACATTCTTGATTAAATTTACTCATAACACATGAAAAACTTCAATTTTAAGCACAATCACTTACCTGTTGGTTTTGGCACATGAAAGTGCAGCAGATCTGGAGATGTTGACATCCATGGGACTGAGTGGAGTGGTTGAACCCATGGAAATTGCATACCCAGGAGATGATGTGGCTCCAATTGGTGGAGACAGATTCTCCTGAGGTCTAACTAGACATAGCCCATTGCCTGGCACACATGAGACAAGACTGACTGTTGCCCGAGCAGCAAGAGATATGGCCTCAGTCGATGCAGATGCACATGCTACACCTCGCTTCACTAGGGAAGTTGTTGGGCCACCTCCATCTGATGAACTCCCAAGACCATCAGAACTGGAGCCACTTGAACCTTGAACAAAAGAGGAAAACAGTTTCAGAATAAATTTAGAGTAACAATCATGAGTAATAGCGAACCAGGGAATCTAACCAGAATCTGACCCAGGGCCAGATTTCATCCAAGCCCTGCGGATTAGGGTAGGAGAGTTGTCAGAGGAAGTGGTTTCAGGGGCACTGCTGTCAATGCTTGCCATAGCTGTAAAGGAGAGAAAAATATGCAAGGTTGCAACTCTTTATTGGAAGTTCATAGATGAAAAGAATAGATAAATTCACATGTAACACAACTTTTGGAATCTAAAACTGGAAATTGATTTTTAGTGCCTAAATGATGCAGCAAAAGCATAATATACCAAATATCATCTCGAGTCTGCAGTCACTAATTATTCTGTCATAAGTTTATAAACTTAGCCATGTGCACTCAAGATTCCTATTTTCAGCTTGAAAACCCCAGTCAAGGTACAAGAGGCACTCATAGGATCTTAAGTCAAGATGTATCCCATCTTAAAACATTGTTCTTCCTCTTTGAAGGTGGGAAGAGCCATGTTGAAAATCAACCGAGAAAGTTTTACCTTGTTCGATGATGGCTGACAATTTTCATGGAATTTTGATGGGAGATGCTTTGGCAGCACAAATAAAAAAACTATAAAAATTGTCAAGGCACTATCAAATACAACACAACTTTCTCAATCAAGTTTCATTATATCTATCACCACACTACCTGTGAAAATGAAGAATAGTGTATTACAAATGGAAATATGAAGATCACTGCCAAATAGATGCCTCTTATTTTTTTTTCAAAAACCTTTTATTAGGAATACAAATTTCACAGAGGATACATACAACTTTCAAGATCATCCTTGGCAGTGTTCTCTTCAGTCACAGCTGCCTCAGGCTGCCCAGTGTGAGGCTTGCTCATCACAACATAAACTTCAAAATGGTTTACCCAGAGTCTTACAGTACTCATATAAACACATAATTCACCACAAACAGAATATAATTGATATAACTGTTGTGAAGGACAAGCCTCACACTGGGCAGCCTGAGACAGCTGTGGCTGAAGAGAATGCTGCAAAGTTGTTCTCAAAAGTCGGATGAACTGTTCTCCCTCGTTCATCATAAAAACCCAAATCTGGCCCCCTCAGACTCCCATCTTGGGGGTGCCTCGAAGGATTGTCTTCACAGAAAACACTTAGAAGACAGGGATACAACAAAATGTGCACTTTGCAAATGATTGCATGAGGGAGACAAGTTCTTTTACCATGCCGGCAAAAATGCATTGGAAGGGATAGAGATTTCATGGAAAAATAGCTGAAGGATCTTGAAAGTCGTATGCATCCATTGTGAAATTTTTGTTCCTGTAAAATGAAAGGTTTCTGTGAAAAAAATATGAGGCGTCTATTTGGGGGTGACCCTCATAATTTATGTTGAAAACTTTCTGGAAAAATATGTAAACATAAATTTGAGAGTACATTCCCATTTCTTCTAAGAAGCTTAGAAGCTGAGACTTGGAGTTCTGAATTAGAAGACTTGTCTCCCTCTCTTTCCCATTCCTCATTCACCTCACTTGTGAAAAATTGTTTCATGTGAACTACAAAACTTCCAAATTTCTTTCTGGTTTCTGAAAATAGGTTAGGGCTTGATTCATCACCAAATAATATTGACTTCATCACAGAGAAGTAATGATTCATCACCAGAATTTATTATTTGGTCGCACAGTTAATTCACATAACCAAACTCTAATTACCTGCACCAAATGATTTCATTTAATGAATCTGATGTCAAATTCTCCCTCAGCATTTTCACCAGATGTCATGAAATGACCACTAAACTTGACTGACCTGGCATCAAATAATCCTCTCATTTTACATAGCAAAATAAATAAAGAGCTTTTGCATTTAGCAGGCCTGTTGGGCAGAGCTAGCAATCTTCCTCTCTTTCCTTTCTGTTCAATTGGAAAAGATCCAGCTTCCAACAGGAATGTCACCTCCCAAGTGAATGCTTCCAAATGCCTGCCTTCATCCAAACTGGACGTATGCATTTCAAAATGCAGAGCTCTGGCAACCCAGAGGGCAAGAGTCTTGCTTTCTCTTCAAGTCCATCCAATGCTCAAGGTGGTTTGCTGATGAGATATTCTTACACACATTATGAAGCATCAAACCTTGAAGTCATTAGTAGCCATGGCAACTCAAATATGCACAGCACAGCAGAAACTGGAATATAGTGCTGTACTCAACTCCCATACATGTTCACAGGCACAAGGAAACCGGTTACACAGGTTCTTCCAAGGTGTTCCAATCAATCTTGCAAGCAAGCAATCTTACAACCTCATCCTGCCATCACAGGTCTAACCAGAGGTGAAGAAAAACTTATTTCCTGACAGAGTTGCAATTGCTGAAGACTTCATAAGTTTGATGATGCAAGCATGTGTTTGGTGTGGGCTCATGCCAATTTGGTGACAAGTTCATTATTATTGGTGGGAGATCAATTATATAAAGCAAAATATATATACTGGTATAGTCAGCACCATGTGTATGATGGACAGGTTGGAGAAAGTACCTCTCACAATCATAAATCAATCACCACCTCAAATACAATTTACAGAGAAGTTGAAATGCATACGATTGGATGCGCTACTCTTCTTATTGCTCCTGAGATTGGTGCAGCGGAATTTGGCCTCCCAAACCTTATAGTCTTCTTCCCAGGTTGGACTGCTGGTGTCTTCTCGGTCTCGGCTGCTGTACCTATAATTAAATTGAAGGGTTAGGCATTCAAGCAAGGGAGTCCTATTGTGTTTGGTTTACTGGGTCTCATCAAATACATTGGTACCTTCTTGGATCCCGGGATCGCAAATGTGAGTGAGTTGATCGGGTCTGTGCTTGCACCCGAGAATTGCTGTGATTGTCCTCCTCTTCACGATTTGGTTCATCTTCTTCAAGCATAAGGTTTCGAATGTAATGCTCTGCAACTCCTCCTGGATCAATACCTTGCCCTTAGGTAAACCAAAATGATCCAAACATGATTTCCATGGAGAACCTCTTAAGACCTTCTCAGAATTGCACTAAATTTTTTTCTTGAATGAGCTTACCTGACGTGTGATGGCTGCTTGATCCAGCAATAGCATTGGAGCCAGATGAGGTAGATGGATGATTCATAATAGCTGATGAGGAGGTAGCAGGGGAGGGAGGCGAAGAAGATGCAGATGGAATCCTGGATGGCATCATGCTTACAGGTGGTGCTGATGTTGACAATGAAGATGGTGTATTGGGATAGCAGGAGCTGAGAGAAGCATGAGATCCTCCCTTGTACATGGGATGAACCTCTCGGTCCAAGAGACGATCCATGATGCGTGCAAGCTTCTCTCGGTCATCCTTGTAGTGGAATAGGAGTGTGATGGCCAAATCATGCCTGCAAGAGATATAGATATACCAACTGTTACATCTCTTTCAGCTTTCAACCTTCCTATTTCAATGAAATGGCAAGTTCAAGACCAGGTATTAAGTATAAGGTCTTAGCAAATGAATTATGTGGAGGAAATGTAATTAGAACATAAGTGACCAAGTTAGGCAAGCTACATTCCAATTTAAAAGCAATTTGTAAACATATTCAAGTCTTAGCTTCATGATGCTCTTATTTCAAACACTCTAGCAACTCTACTCAGGGTTCACACCAGCTTTTTCAAATCTTGAGTCCTGGTGCGTAGCTTCAGCTCAGTATGAACATGTTCAGGTGGTTGTCAATGTGTCCCATGGACTTAGATGTTTTGCAAACATGAATCCCTCCAAGCAAATATGAGTCAGGGACTTGCAATAGCAAGTTAACATGAACCCTGCTACTGTGTCTGTAGTCTGTACTGGTACCTAAAACTCCTTCCTTTAAAATATAGTGCAGACCAATCACAAATAGTCATTACAAAACAGTTTGAGTAGAAAAAGGCACATAAATGGCTGAGCTTCTGGAGTTCATCATGCACTTTCCAAACTAAGTACCTTTTTCAGATTTAAAGTTTTGTGATGTCCCACCTTTGCTTGCGAGTTCCTTCACATAGAAGGGGATGGTCTGCTTCAGAGACATTGGCCTTCAGTCCTAGTGCTGACACAGCAGCATCAAATGCCAGGCTTTCATCAGTAGGGAGACTATATGCACTCTGACTGAGTGTCCCTCGCCCAGTCAAAGTCTGATTCATTGCTGTGAAAAATGCAATCAGTTACAAGCACACAAGATCAACATCTGGATAGTAGTAGCAGGAGGTATTTCTATGCAAAACCTTACTTGATAACACCAGTGCATCAAATATATAGCTGGCCAAGTTGAGGGGAAGGAGTGCTTCACCTCGGGAGCGTAAGCTCCCATTTCGCAATGCCTCAGCTCTTGACCTGATGATCTCTAATTCATCAGGACCTAACAAAAATTGAATACAATCTCCATTACACCAGAAACCTACCTGGATAAGACTATTCATGCTGGGAAAGAAAATACCAAGAGGGATCTTCTTCAGGAGGGCAACAAGGTCTAGTTCCTGGTTGGCAAGCTTCACCTCCAAAGTCTTGGTGGAGGCTGGGGGACGACACATCTCCAGGCCATACAGTCCAACACGGAAGGCCAGATTGAAGCACTCAGAATGCTCAGACAGTACAGTGCACAGAAAAGCTGCCTTAGCCAATGTAGCTGATGCAAGACAACTCACATGATGAGATGCTGGATTGATCTATAAAGACAAAGGTACAACAGTTCAGATCTGTAGCAAAATAGAAAAAGCTGTAGTGGGAGTGAAATTGTCATCATGTAAAGTGCAGACTGACCCGATTCCGTCGTCTCTTGTTCTTGGGAGGGGGTGGGATGTCAATCATGAGCTCAGGAGGATGAGCCAACAGCTCATGAGCTAACTTGACAGCCAGAGTACAAGCCTCTCTTGAATGGCCATGAGCATGAAGAGCCTCTGCCCTTGCAAATAAGATCTCCAATGGATCTTCCATGCATCTAAGAGTTGCCAGGAGGGACTCACATGCCGAAAGAGTCAGCTTCTCATCGTCTGCCTTTCCCTTTGTTTTATCACAGTCAGACAGTCTAAGTTTGGGATCATAGTAGTACACCTGGTACTCATCAACTACAGGGCGGTCTATGCCTGCATTTGCAGTTGCTGCATTTGAACCGTCCCAATTCTCATCACAGTCTTGCAGTTGGACTCTTGCTGGCTGATCATCATCCCTAGTGGATTCCAAATCGCACTCATCACTACTTGATCCAGGCTGGTGCTGAGAATCACAAAAACCCTCACTGCTCACACTTCCACTAGTCCTAGGCACATGAGCAGGACAAGTTGATGGGCTATGTGCATCTGGGCGAACCAATGATGATACACAACACTCAAACACAGCATTCTTGTCTGAGTAAGTCACTGATGGAATTGGATAGTCTATCCAATCAAGGAAACAAGCCTCAATGGCAGGCTTGAACCCACTGAATGCATCTGGATTGGGACCATGCACACCTCCACCACCCCCACCCTTGGAGTTACCAGTTGGTCGGTTTTTTTGTGCATTATGGACCACATTCAAGTGCCACTGAATAAACTTATTTTTCAGAACACGTCGTTCCTCAGGGGAAAGGGCTGGATTGAGGGCAGCCAGACGCCATAGTTGCACAATCTCATCGCAAAGGCTGCTGCATGCATGCTGAGATGCATGGCTATTGCTATTCACATTCTGCTTTCCACCAAACCCACTGGCACCAACATGAAGGGCTACTTTTGTGTTGAACCACCATACTAGAATCTGGAATAAGGTGCCAACAAGAAAATTTATATGGCATATCTCACCCATACATCAGCTTCTGATCCTCCTAGATGGGTATTTGTAAAAAATGGAAGGATGTCCTCACCTGATCACAAAGGAGGCATTCCTCAGTCAGAATCTGAAGTAAAGGGATGGCGTTGCCATCATGTCGACGAAACATCTCCCGCACAATGGATAAGAGATTCCACATGCCCTCAGGCTCTCGCCCCCTAAGCGGTCTCAAGAGGCTTGACCACTCAGCTGCAGCAGGTGGTGCATTTGTTGTTAGCTGATAAACATCACTGCAAGACAGAACAAATGCAGCTTAGACAGTCATATACGCAGTCAGAGTAGGATAGAGGAAATTGCAGAACAGGCTCCACCTGAAGACAATAGGCGAGGGGACACAGAACTTGTTGAGTATTCTACGAATGTTTTCATGTAAAGTGGCCTCATCTAAACACCAGGCTGTCTGCTCACCCGCTGAAGCTCCAGCTGTTGGATCAGGAGCTCCACAAACCTGTTCCATAAGAGCATAAAAAATTAGAAGAATGGAGCAAAAGTAGGCCTCCTCTTTTAATGGACACAAGACTTTCTCACATTATTGATAGAAGATGATGATGGAGAGAGGAGATCATCGAGGAGCCGCTGTGCTGTAGGCAGAATTTGCTGTGGCAGCTCACTAATGAGATACTGAGCAAACTTCTGGAGCTGGTCCCTGTGCAGCCGACTCAAGGATTCGCTCACAGGAGCTCGGAGTTTGACACTTCGTGGCTTCAGAAGGATATTAATTTCATTGGTACCTCAAAGAACACATGCACTACCTGAATAATAATATAAAAATTTGGCCACCTCATGGATACGATGAAGGCAGACAGAAACAATGTGTCGACACCATGATGCAGCACTGGCACAAGTGCAGTTGCATGATGTGATACGTCTTCTATCAAATGTGATGGCCACATTAAACTGACCTTTCCCTGGCAGTGCAGGATTGGATACCACAACAGTTGCACTCAAATGGAAGCCTAAAGAGAGGAAACAATAAGTACAAATATCCATTTTCCTGAAACAAAATTATTGCCAAATCTATACAACTGTGCCCCCAAGGTTTCTGACTTCAATGCCCATTATTGGTTTTGGCTTCATGGGGAGTAAACATTGAAGTACAAATAAACAGGGTGGGCAAAAAAAAACCAAAGCTGTCATTTGTGGTGTTGTCAATCTCTTCGTAGGCTGTCAATTTAAATTAAAATTGGTAGACTTATAGGGTGACACAATTGGAATTTGTATGCCAAATTTCAGCTTTCTGGCTCTAAAATTAAAAGAGCTGTAATTATTTTCTGATGGCTAACAACAAAATGTCCTGTCAAAAGTATCAATATGAACTTGAGGTTGGGATGAAAGGGAGGTTCGATTTCATGAACTTCCATCCCAGCATGACGTTACAAAGGAAGATTGGGAGGCACTGCCTCAAAGTTTTATTGACCAAGCCATTGATCTGCGGTGTCCTAGAATAGAGGCTTGTGTTCAACAGAATGGAGTGCACATTGAGCACCTTTTCTGTTGAAATGAAAGTGCTTAAACCAAGTTGTGGGCTTTCATGTTTGGCATTTGTTTTTGCCAGTAGTGAAAGATTTTAAGCTGAAATAAAAAAATGAGCACTTTCTTTTTCAGAGATGAAATGGAAATTAAATGCCAACCTCACAGTTTTTCTCATTTTTATTTGAAACTTGTCACACAAACCCTAACTGAGTCACACTATTTGTCTACTAAATTTCACCACAAGTGGTAGCCTATAATCAGATTGACAACTTACCAAAAAAGATAGATTTGTTATTTTTGGCCCACCCTGTACATGGAAGTGCAACCAATCCATTATGGGCATAAAAACTGAGAGAATAACAGACCGATCTGGAGAGTGCCCTGCACAGTCTTGGTCTTGTACAAGGATTCACCATTGGAAAACTCCTCAGGATTGCCATTAGCAAGGCAGGAGTAGAGCCTGATGTCATCTTCATTTAATGGGAAGCTCCAGAATGCAATGCATAGCTGGAGGGGTTCAGGCACTGGAGGATGGAACCGCTCCACTAGTTCAAATGGAAGATTCCATGCCACTGTCTGTGCACACAGCTCCACCAAGGAGAATTCCTTGTCTGTCAAACCAAACAAAAAAATTAGACCACCTCAGACAGGAATAGGGCAAAATAAAGAAAGACAAAATGCTTTTTTTATATTTTCAGCCACCAATAAAGCAAGACAGTGTAGAGAGATCTTTCTTGGAAATCCCACTAGAGTCAAAATAAATTAGAAGAAAATGAAAGAGTATAGCTGAAAGGATTTTGATTGGAAGAAACCACAGCTTAAGTCATTCTCAAAATCACCACAAATGCACACCACAGGCTTGGATTGCAACACATGATCCATTTGACCCAGTGAATTCTCCCAGTTTTTGTGGAATTTTCTCTTTCTCCACTCTTTTCTTATCAAGCCATGAATTGTGGATAGCCCTTTCGGACATGGATCCCACTAGAGCTTTATTTCTTCATAGCTGTTGGTTAGAAGTTGTCTGCTCTCCTAAGCATCATTAATTCCTTTTTCACAGGACACTTTGCATTGGCTGCCTTCTTACAGCATGAGCATAAACAGAATACTAGTAATACACAGGAACTGAATGCCAGTATATTCAAAAATATACTTGTTGACAGCAGAAACAAAGCATTGGGTGTGACCAATGACTAACGTGAATATTCAATTTTATGTCAACAGTTATTCTTAAAAGAAAAAGAGTCAAATTACAGCAAGTATTTTTTTTTAATGTTCAAAAACTGTAATAATATTAAAAGCTGTCAACCTCCACCATATTCAACATGTCCCAGGGTTTGTTGATCTTGTATGAAATCTTTGCTACAAGTTTAAAAGGAAGACTTTTGCCTGTACCACTCCTTTGTGAATATAACCTCATTTTCTCCTTTGGCCTTCATTGTTCATGAATTTCACTATAATATCATAATGGCTCTCTAGTTGCTTATTATTATTATTTCTTTTTTTTTTTTTACAGAGAATACTTTTCTTTTACTAATACTTTATTATTATTTTCTCCATCACCAATGATTGAAGGCATCTCTACTTCCAAAGCAGAGGCTCACCAATAAGTAGCATCTTTATGTAGCATATTTTTTTCATTCCTTCTTCAAATTTTCTATAGGATCAGGAGCAGAGATGAATCACAAGGATGAGAATGATGGTGATGATCTTGATGAAGAAATCCAGTTTAAAAAATGATTTCAGTTTTCATTTTGCAGAGCTAAGAGTTTTTTCTACAGGCTTTCCTTATCAAAGTTACTCCTACATACACATTTTAGACTGTGGACATGAGCTCTTCAAGTTTGGTTCTTAAGTATTACACTCACTCAGTGAAATTATTTACTGTAGTGCATTGTCCCTGAGTCAATTCGTTAGCATTAAGCTGGTTCCTCCTTGCATTTGTCTCCCTTTAAAAACCACCACTGTCCTGTGGTGAGGTAAAAGTACAGAGGGAATTATTAAATAAAATACCATTTGAATATGCAATAATTTTTATATCAATGAAGCCAGGAACATGAAAACTGACAATTGCAAACACAAGGGAAATTTATCCCCACCAGTTTGCAGCACTACAACAGCTTGGTGACATGGCACACAGTAGATACTGTTCATTGTGAAACATTTCTAAAAAGTGGAAATTTAGCTGTTACTGTGTAGCAAACCTGTATAACGAATATGGAAAGCATGTAGAGCCAGGAAAGCAAACAGTTCTGCAACTGATGAAGCAATTTCCAGGAAAAATGATCTGCACTGGATCAACATCAAGGTCACCTGAACAGGGTGACTGTGAGAATGTTTTATCCAACAGGTTCCCTGATGTCCATCACGGTGGGTTCGCCCGGGCACCGATGTTCCCTGATCGCGATTTGTGAGAACTTTCTGTACGCCATACTCAATTGATAAACCCTGTATGAAGTACTAATCCAAACTATTAAGAGTGACGCATTCCACTATCTACACGCTAAGTCACTTTCTGGCAAAGTGAAGAGGGATCTGTAATCTCACTCACTCTGATATACCAGTAATTGATTCTTTATCGACAAGGAAAGGGATGCAGTGCAGGAAGCAAAAAAATGTCCAGACTCGTTACCGCTCAAAGAGCGCGAATGACGCAACCACTGCTAACAGTCTCCAACCGAAGACAAAATAGCGTGAATATAAACGCGTATTTAGGTCATAACCAGGGAGACTTTATAGAATTCGTGATGGCAATCCGAGATACAAGCTATAGCAGGGGGATGTGATGACGCAAGCCAAATCACAGAAGCATGACCATCAGCTGTGATTTGGGACGAACAGCCCCGAGGTTCTAGGCCACATACTTTTGAAGAGAGTATTGAAGAGAGGAAATGGACTTTCTATATACTGTATATACAGATATATATATAAAATACTACGAAGCCTCCCCCCCCCCCGACTATCGATTTCCACCGAATCCTTGATTTGACGAAGCGACATCAAGATGTTGCTGTTGAACGAGGAGCGATGCGATCATGTGGTGAAAGAGGAGCGGGAGGGGGGATGGATACAGAGAAAACAAAGGCATGCGCGCATGGGCAGTGAGTGAGTGACCGAGAGAGTGAGGCTGAACAGAGGCATGACGTCACATGAAAACCACCAACTTTTCGCGTCTCGACTCCTTCCCCTCCTATGCTCGTCACCAACGGCATCCTCTCCTCCAATGAGTGTTCAAATAAAGTACGCCGAAAAAAAAAAGGTCTACCCGATTCGGACCAAGGGAGCGTAAAAGAATCAGGTGGATTCGTCTACTTGTCATCACACCATCCTGTTGTCTTCTACATATATTCCTTGTACCGGCAGGTTCCCAGATAACATTTTTCGTGGGGCCCACGTCGGCCCAACGTAGGTTATTCACGTAAGTCCCACGTGAAAGTGATCGTTGGGCCAACGTTGGCAGTAAGTTGGATAGCAACGTATAACCCACTTACCCAAATAGCTGGTTTTTGCTCTATATCATCATCATTTCGTACCATATACTTCATTCCCCATCCAGTGGAGGGTATTCCATCTATAGTACGGTACATGTACTATGAAATTCAACCTACCAAAGACATGTATACATGCCCTAGAGAGGCAGGAGACATAGGACAGTACAGACGTGGATCTTCCCCCGACTGTACTGATTACAGAACACGTCAGTGGATGGACCACCTCGCGCGGTACCTTAAAGTATCAGCAATATCAAATCCTTTATTTCCTCCTGTGGTGGAGATGAGCAAATGGCGGAATTGAGTTCACGGACACTCCCTCTGTATTTCGGATCTCCTTTTTGGATGCAATCCTTCTGTCATTTAAAAAGGTTCTCATAAGGAATATGAGTTTGTTCATGGCCTGAGCTTCATGAATCTGTCTTGAATAAGTGGATAACAAATGATGAAATGTCCGCGTTTATTGATTCCTATAATGAGACAAGGTGAGACATATGGCCAGGTACTAAACAATCCTGCGAAGGACAATTCCAGGGAAAGAGGTAAGGGAACTTTTGCGTGCTGTGCGAAAAGCGAGACCCGATACCTACATCTAATGACCTGGCGAAGAACTTCAAGGTTTTGAAGTTCTTCAAGGAACTTGCATCAGGAGTTCTGCAGTTCTTTTCAACGTGTGGATATGCCCACATGGGGCCAACATCGTTCCCCAACATCTCCCACCTTTATCCAATGTGGGCTCAACGTAACGTGTTATCTGGGTTATTTCTATTATTTTCTGACGATAAACAGGAACAACTCAGTAGTGCGTTACATGAGAAGGGCCATCTTGTGAGACATCACTAGTTTATAAGCAGTATGTGGGGCTTAAGGTGGGGTAGACACATGACTTTTAATCTATGTAATGAGGGAGGTTAACCAAACCACTAGCCATGAGTCGCTAAGGTCAACTCCGATTGAAAAGACAAGATCATTCAAGATGTAGTCCCAAGTCCATGGATCAGGGCGGGTTGACCCCCACGACCGCAAGCGCAATATCTTGGAAAGAAACAAAAAAGAGACGAAACGTCGCCCAAGGGGGTTTGTTTCTCTCTCTCGGAATAAGTCGACTTTCTTGCGTTTTTCATCTCACACTTGGCTGCAAATAAGCACGAGACCAAGACTTGATTCTTCAGTGCGTGTACTGGGCACCGGAAAGATGTATATGTATGCGTAAAGCAGAGGGTCAACAGGAGTGGGTGGGGAGGACGGGAAAATCAAAAGATCTTTCTCAAATGCATGCAACGATCCATTTTGATTCCCTTCTATACATGGCTGGGTTGTCCATCTCCTTTGTCTTGGGTGACGGTACGGCTGGGACGAGACACAAAGAAACCACGAAACAAAGACCATGCTGTCAATTGGGACCGATCGGCTATTACCAGAACGGAGAGGACTGAAATAAATAAATGAAAAAAAAAATAGTCCCGCGGTCGCATTCGATCACTCTAATGTAGTTGTTTTAAGTTTCGAACGAGGCCAAGGAGAGCCACAGCCGAAGGAGCGCAAGCTTTCTCGACGGAACGGTGATCAATAAAACCGTAGAGGGAGAAAGGCAAAGAGAGGGGGTGGAAGTGCAAGTGCGATAATATAATCTTACACATCCCCCTCTCTTTAACAAGCCAGGGGCCCGTTCCTCGCCTGTGCTAAACTTAAATCTAAATCTTAGGCTAAAGGGTCAGGGCGAAGTATAGACTTTTTGCTTTTAGACTGCTTTTAGATTTAGATTTAGATTTAAGTTTAGCATAGGCGAGGAACGGGCCCCAGGACTATGGTCCTCTTCCCAAAATGGTGACATTTTCCCTTAATTTTTTCATATTTTTCTTTCCTACTTCCACCCAGACTTTCCCTTTTCTCCGTACATTGGGCTAAACCATTTTCCCTTTTCACACATAAATGAATGTAAGAAAGCAGGTCTGCATAACATCAACACAATAGGACCCAACATTTAATACCTTCACAGAAAAAAAAAGCAAAAACTGCAATTCAGAGAAAAATTATCAAGACAAGGAAACAAGAACTCTCAAGCTGGTGTCTGTGTACACAGCCTCCCTCTATTTCCAAAAATGTCCACTCTCCAATAGAATGTTACCTGTTTCAACTCTTTGCTAAGGGTAGAGAGTATAAACACCTCTGATCTCAAGGGTGAGGAGAGGAACATGATTAATAACTACTGCTTATTTTCTAATGACAAAACGAGAAATTGAAGTATAGATGGATTTTAACTTTATTGATGGAATGCATGGGATTTGATGCCTATGAGGCCACTTTTAACCCTTTGGCTGTTTGCTGAATATATACTCAGGCTAATGTAGTGATAGCCAGGGTATGTTCTTGGGCTCAGAACATTCACTGTGTCTAGGTTATTTCACAGCTTTTATGCATCATCAATAGTTTTAATGATATGACATTTTTTTACATAAACTATTGTTCTTAGATAAGCAGTGCCAGTTTTTATTTTAAACATTTCTGCCATTCCCCCCTGTGTTATAACGGTGAATAGAGAAATATGTTATGATGTCAATAACTAAAAAATAAAACCTTGCTATGGGTAAAAATTAATTGAAAAATAATTTATAAACAAGAAAGAGATGTGTGCATATTACAAGTCCACATCTATGAGAAAATGGCAACAGCATAAACTCCATGAAGAAAAGACTGAATATGTCATGAAAGACACCTTTCCTCTGACTCCTGGAGATAACCATTGGAATTTTACCTGACCCTAAGCCACTCGCAAATGATCATTATGGTCCTGATTTCAGTGAAGTTGAAGATATGACAAATGAGCCATGATGCCCAACTGGAAAAGTGTCCAAGGGGGTGTGGGAGATGATCTATGAGCAAAAGGTAGGCTTTAAAGTTTATTTTTTATTTTTCTTGGACTTCCTTTGGAAAGTAACTCCTGTATGGTGAACAGGCTGCTGACTTGCGATCTGAGTATCATCACAACCATTTTCTGTATCCACTGAGCACTGGTTGCTTTGGGGCAACTTGAGAGCAAACTCTTCCCATCTAATGGGATGTACATTTGCAGAGGCTGTGTGATGGAATAAACTGTGGTCACAGCATGCAGTCTCCTAGTTCTTCATATTGTCATCAAAAGCTTCTCCCTTTCATGAAAAGGAGATTCCAAAAAAGACAGAATTGTATTAAGGATACCCTTACTGCAGGACCATGCTCCATTTGAGGATCGTGGTTATTTCTTGCCTCCCACAGGCTGCTCTCACTCTTGTTTTACCTCCCTTTAAATTTAAAAAAAACTTTAGTTTGGTTTTCTATTTGATGAAGGTCCCCTTCACTTGCATTTCTTTCTAATATTTCTAAATGATACTTTTATCAATTACAAAAACATCATGCTTGAACATATTTCAGGATACAAATAGGTACAGCGTGGGCCATAAATATTCATACGACTTGCAATTTTTCTGTTTCTGTATGCCTGAAAACAGCAAATAAAAAAATGTATTGTACCTGTATGTGAGTGTCTCTTTGGTGGTTGACTTTGGCAGTTTTAACATGAATCCCTCTCCTCCTAAAAATGGCATGAGGTTTAAAAAATTGTCTGGTTGACCATGAGGCAGGATCAAAGAATAATAATGATCCACATGCAACTCTGACTGTAACCAAATGGATTACTGTATGTGAAGTCTGCTGGAAGCTGAAAATATTTTGCAAATAATTACTTTGAGCCCTAGTGTCTTGCTGAGATTCAATTGATTCCATGAGAAGTTATTAGTACAGGAAATACAAGGCATTGATTTGGTGTGAATATTTATGGGTCACCCTGTAGAAGTTGTGTTCACATTAATCACAAGGCAATACATATAGGTGACCATGTGGACTACTGGTTGGGGTCAACATTTTGCAGAAGAGCTTATGCATGCTACATGATTGATATGAATTTGTCTTAACCCTTTAGCTGGCAATCACATAAATAACTGATTAAATAACAGCTATTGGTGGTACTCCTTTACTTGGATGGAATTCAATTGCTGCTCTTTGCTTATGACAGTCATCATAACACTCCCTTCTGAATAGCCACAGAGGCAGAGCTCACTGGGTGGAAAACATTAAACTTTGCAAAAAAAATGGGAAGGCATTTTGAAAGTATCTGCATGCGAATTTTCAATATTGTGCCACCAGTAGTTTGCAGTAGACAAAATTAGAGGAATAACTTTTGTGGTGAGCCTCATATATACAGCCTGTGTCTGTCCAGGTTCCAGTTGAACAAATTTTCTGGTGAAGGCTGCTGCCTTAAGTGCTTCTGAAACTTCCTCAGAATTGAAGTTATATATTTGTTTACCCAAATCTACATTGCAATATAAATAAAATCTTTCTTCCAGTGACAATTAAGAAGCTATTTTGTAGCCAAGATAGTATCAGTACAGTGTTCAGCCACTTTATACTTTTAAGAACATCTATAAAATTTAAGTTCTCAACTCAAAAGAATAAAATTCACACCAGCAGAACATAACAGACTTATAGTATATCCTGTCTCATGCTGTAAAAGGATACGACTCACTATGTGTTGAGCGGTTGTAGGTGCTTGCTTGTGAAGTGGTTGGCGTGGAGGTTGGTGGACCCCTCCATCCCCTCCAGTTGTTCGTGATTACAACCTCCTGCTCACTGTTCCATGAGCAGAGGGAGTCATCTTCAAAATGGTCAGAATCATAAAGCCCAGAGGATACTTTATCTGGCTCCTCCCATTCAATCATCTGCTGAAGCCCTTCATGACAAAAGAACATGCTCATTCAAATGCATTCTTTGTTATATAAAAGTATTATATTCATACATTTTCTTAACTTAAAAAAAGGTTGCCAGCTGAACAAGGCGAGGACAGACAGGAATAGAATTAAGCAAACTAACTCCACCTGGATCACATGTCTGATTAGCTGACTTCCAGTTGTAACCTATGACCTTGAATTTAACCATATTGAGCTCAAGATACCAAGTTCTCAAATATATAATATTAAAAACTCTTTGAGAAGTAAATTTTACCACCTGCCAGATCCCCCCGAGTACATATACAGAGGGCAGGATAGTATCAGCCTGTAAATATATGGGATAGTTCCCCATGTGTTAAAGGGGTGTTGAATTCCCACTAATTGTGAAGTTCCAGATGTTCTATTTTTATTTTTTTTAGTTCTGAAGTTGCTAAGATTCAACACTTGCACAACTCCATCCCAATTAAAGGCTCATAAAAACCATTAGTGTAGCACTCATTCTCTCATGAGGGCTGCAAAATCAATTCAGGTCTTAAGGCCAAAGTATATAATTATTTTAATGAAAAGAACCTCTGATTAGTCTGATTATATCCCTGTGAAAAGAAATATAAATAAATAATACAATTTTTTTTTACGCTCATCTTTTGCCCTTACATGGAAATATAAGAAGTAAAGTAAAAATAGAGATATTGTAGTTCATGTTAATCTTAGGCTGAATAAATATGCAAGCAAATCCTGACCAATTAGCTGCTTCTCTCCCTTTTAAAACTGTTTTTCTCTTTTTTCAACTTCTGTGAATTTATCCTAGCATTAAGAGGATCACACAACACCCAAAAGGAAAATTTGGAACTGTAGCAGAATTTGCCAATGCATTCAATTCCAACACAGCGATCTTGATACAACTCTTTCTCTGATGCGGAGATATATATCATACAAAGCATATCTTACTCAGGCTAATAATTTTCAGGAGTTGAAATGAAACATGTAAAAGAAAAATATATCTCCTTTGCACTCATGGTAATTTGAAAGCAAAAATTTTATAATTACACTCCATTTGCTGGCACATATATTCATCATGTTCCAGGAATCTGCCCTACTTAACCTTTTCATGGCTGAATTAAGAAAACAAATAACTAGCCAATGTGAAAATATCATATCAGACCATATATGAAACATGTATGGGGATTCACACAACTCACATAAAATCATACAAGAAGAAAAAAATATGACCCCATACATTTTCATATATTAGCTCATACAAATGCACCATATACTGTCCATATATGCCATGTCATATCTATGCTTGGTGAGATTACCTGAAAGATGCCAGTATCCAAATAGGGTCCATAATCCATTGAATACTGCATAATCAAACATATGCAAGTCACCATATGTAACTTAGAGTCAATTCACTTTTATTTGTTCATAGACCACAATCAATTACTCCAAGAATTCAATTACGCTGCATAAAGAAAAAATATCATAAAAGTAAATATTATTTTTATATGGTTAGCATGGAAGAAAATGCCTTCACTTGGCATTGATTATTTACAAATGGAACATAATTATTTCCATCACTTCCGGCTCCCAGTCAGCTTCTGGTGATAAGGCCCCAATTGCCAGAGTTGCAGTGGTGCTTCATGTCCCGGTTGTTGGGGAGGAGGGGGGGGGGCCATTGGAACTCCTTGCCCTGGGTGTCAATATGCCTAGAAATGGCCATGCCACAGAGTTGCATAGAATTGGGGGAGGGGGGAAGAAGGTGGGATGGTACAGCATGTACGTGCCCCCCACATTACAACAAATTAGAAGCAATAACAAAAAGGAATAGACGTGAAATTCATAACGTCCCAGAGTTCCCGTGGCCAGCCCCCCCCAACACACTTTTTTCATCTAAAATATGTTTGCTACTTAGAGAGGGTAGGGTTCAATTAGAAACACCAACCGGAATTTTCTAGCTGCACAAGGGCTGTATATTCAGACCAATTCCAGCTGGTACAGAGCTGGAAAATGGTAGATACAGGATGTTTCACACTTGGAATTTTCCAAATGGAATGCAGCTAATTTCAATGGCTGTATTTGGCTGGAAATTTACCCTTAAAATTTTATAAAGAGGGCCCTCCAGTTGGAATACAGTTGAATTTACTTTTGAAAATAAGCTGTTTCTGTAGATGGACCTCCAGCAGGAATATGCAGCAAAAAATTATCATTCCACCAGTAGTACTGCAATTAGGAACCAATCTGGATCTGACTTTACCATGCAAGCATTATATTATAGCTATGTATAACCTTTAAAGTAATTTGCCAAAAGTTTGATTTTGAACCCCCCAGATGAAAATCCTTGTTGAAAACAGCTATAAAATTCAAGCAGGACCCCAGTTGGTACAGCTTCTGTCCACCTGGAAAATTTCAGTCAGGGTTTCAAATTGGGCCCTACCCTCTCTTAGTAGCATAAGTACATAATAAAAAAAATGGGCAGGAGGAGGGCAAAACTCTGGGACACTGTTATCATGCACATTTTTCTCTGTATTAATGTTTTTTGTTGTTAAGTGGGGGCATGGCATGTCATGCCATGCCTACATTAAACAATTCCTTCATTGGATTATTTCAGGAAGAAATAAGTTTTTTCCCTATCTATCTTGTGAGTTGTCAGTCAAGATGAAGACATTCTTATGTGAATAAGTTAAGTTTTGTCATGAAATAGCATTATTGATGGAAAATACTTTTGAAGGTTCAAGTCTATAATATTGAAACATTCACCTTCATCAACAAGGGTGCATATGTTGAACACCATGAAACATGGGTTCTTGGAGTAATTGATGGTGGTCTATGAACAATTAAAAATGAGTTGATTGCAAATAAGGTATGGTGACTTGCATATGTATGATCATGCAGTATTGGATGGATTATGGACCCTTTTTGGATACAGGCATCTTTCAGATAATCTCACCATACATAGATATGACATGGCATATATGGACAGTATATGGTGCATTTGTATGAGCTAATACATGAAAATTTATGGGGTCCTATTTCTCACTTCTTATGTGATTTTATGTAACTTGTGTGAATCCCCATACATATTTCACATATGTTCATATATGGTCTTATATTAAATTTTCACATGGGTTAGGAGAGGGCTTGGCTCTGCTGCCCTGTCCCCTTGACTCTTCAGGCAAAATATGGTTGTAAGTAAGACATATGACTTGTCCATGAATCTTCACCACCTATCAGACATAATTCCTTATGCCCATAAAACTTAATATTGCAATGCAGGTAAAATATTTTATATGCAATAGGGCTTTTACACATGACATCATAGATCAGGAGACACTGCCTCCACTCCATGCTGGAGTATAGGCAGACTACGTTTGGCGTGAACGACAGTGATATTTTGCTCAACTATGGTGAATTTCTCGTGTCTAGCTGGGTTGGAGCAAGTTCCCACACTTGCAAATGTGGTTCCCTGGGTCTTTGAGAGTGACGGACATACAGAAATGATGATGTACACTGTTACACAAATTGGTTGTGTGGTATTCTCACAGGCCTAGACCTAACTCCATGATTCTGAAGGCACCCCAAAGCAGGTGTCCTCGTCAGAGGATACTAGATTGGGTCAAGTCATTAGGCCTTTGGTGAGAAGGTAATACCTGAATTTCATGGCATGTGATGCTCTTAGCATATGGGAGAGAGATGTCAATACTGTAGTTCGAATTTCCTGTGGAATCGTGGACTCAGTTCTGTGGAGTCTCTTCCTTCATAGGCACTCTTTTCAAAACAACCCATTAACGCTATGACATTCTGTTGAGAAAATACGACAAGATGACAGCACAGTCAAGGGCATTCCACCATGACTAGCAGGCGCTATTGCAAAAAATAGAATGCATTGCATTTTAGGCCAGAACTTGGCTTCAGCCACCAGACCATTACAGGGCTTCAGTGGGTAAGGATCACACTCTTTGCTCATCTTCATCTTCTCCAGATAGCAGTGTTTTGCTGTGCCTTTCAGGGTTTCAAAATAGGCGGAAAAACTGGTAATCGTGATGCAGACTTGACGAGGTTACAACCGTAACATTGGCCTATCAATCGAAACCCCTGCTCCCCTGTACTCCAGCATTGCAGATGTGTGCTCCGCCCCTCGTTAAACGCCATCTTGTGATGTCAGTGAAAAAGCACTATACAATTGTTAATATATGAATATATATATGGTGGAACATGGCAAATATATAACCATGCATGGCCATATATAATCATACAACCTGCAATAGGGTAAAAGACCCAGTGATGGGCCACATCGCAAGAAAATTCCAAAAACTAGGTATTAGTTCCACGACCACCTCTGACATGTGTATGTGCTTGAATGCTGCTAGTCTATGCTGCAACAGGGGTAGGCATGCAATGGAGACTTAGCTATAGGAATTTTTATGTGCAGTTGCCCATCACTGGGTCTTTTACCCTATATGGAATTTTCACGTGGGAAGACATATTTTCACCACTTTTTCCATTGAACAGGTGGTTGCTAAAGATAGTGCATGCAGAAAATTTAAAATATTTACTTATATATTCAAAAACTGAACCTTTTAATTACATGAATCATCAACCAAATATATTGAATAACAGCCATTGTTCACATATGGGGGGCCCCTAAAACATGGCCTTTGTCCCAATTTTATTTGTTCATTCATGCTAAATGCAGGCATATTTTCCCTTTCTTTAAAAAAAGGAAAAAAAAGTCTTACTTTTTCGTTTAAAATTCCATATCACAAAAAATACAAAAATATCAGGTCACAACTTTTCTTTTTGATCCAGCTTGCCTGAACTACAACCTATTTGAACAAATGATGCATCACCGAAGTGCCCCTTTTGTGAGCTATTAAGTGGTACCAAGTTAAACAGGTTTTGTTCAATGGTAACTGCAAGAGCAGTCTCAAAAGATATGATCATATGCAATGAAAGGGTTAATCTTGAATACAATTTTCCAATGGGGAGTAGCATGAATGATAACCCATTCTGTTGGCAACATATACAGGAATAGTATGTGACCAAGAGATGTGTCCGAGAATTGATGGTTGAATTTTTTTAGCTTTATGTAATTCCAAATTTTCTCAGACAAAATAAAGCGTGAATGGCCAATGAATGGGGTGAGGCACCACATGCCATTGGACCTTTTTGAAGGTTTTTAAAATTTTTAAACCTTATTATTTCTGGAATAAAACATCTGCAATTGCATGATCCCATGAAGAAAAACACTTTTTTTTAAAGGTCTCCACTCCCTCTTATAGAGTTAGTGAAAACTCCCACTTACTTTCTTTGCCGATTTAAGAGTTTTCAAGTCAAGTACTGAGGGACTCTGTGAATTAGTCTTTGTCTACAGTACACAAAGACTTCTCTTCTAGCTTCCTATCCCATATTTTCTTTCCTTGCTCAAGACTTAGTTCTTTTCATAGCTCATCGCTACCTATGGTCCACTTACATATCCAATGCAAAACCACCATGATAGGGTGCAATGGAAACCATCCACATATGCTTGAGTCCAGTTGTATAATATAGAGGGTCCATTAGGGGACAGAGCTTATATGTTCCTAGGCTAAGGAATGCTTTCTGACAACTCTTCTTTGCTAAATAAGTTACGAGTCAATACCCTTTACAGATAGGTAATGCCACATAGCCTATAAAATAAGGCCAAGGCCGTTAACTTACCAACTTCATCGAAATTGTTCCATTCTGCCCCACCCACCCCGTCTTCATACACGAAATCCAGGGTGCTGGTTTTGTAGAGTTTATCTGCATGCAAGGGAGATTTAGACAGGCTCTTATGTCGGCGTCATGAGGGAAAGCGGACACTCGTCAACCCTCTCCACCACAAGACCTACAACCTCTGAACCAAAACAAAAATGGAGGCCTCTATCAGGAATGCGCATCTTCGATTTTTCAGGATTACAGCTGACTCCACCATGTGACAAGACAAAGGCTCAACTACACAATGATTATATTGTGCTGTGGAAACCTTGTACGAAGCTTTTCAATTAGTTTGAAATCTTTTAAAATCATTCTGACGCGCCAAATGTATGCCGAACATCTCCTAAAATACTTAATCATACATTTTTTATTTGTTTTACAAAGCAACTGGAGAATTTATGATGAAAATGCTCTTGCGAAAATGTGCGGACTATAATATACCCCTATATTGATGGTGTCGCAAGATCAGGCAAATATTTTTGTTGAAAATATTTCCTTGCAATGAGCAGCGCCAGAATTCAATGAGCTCAATAATGACAGCTGTCGATCATGGATTACTGAGGAAATTATACAAGAACGAGTTCTTCGGTTTTCTAAGACCATAAAAATTGTGTGAAAACGCTTCTAATTTTCGGGAGGACACCTTTGATGACAAATTAGCATTTCCAATATTTAAAAAAAGAAGTCAAGGGGGTAGCAGATGGTGAAGATATACATACACCGAGCAGACGATAGTGAGAAGGAAACGGTCGCGATGACGTCATGACCACAGTATTAAGGGGGGCATCAGTAAGTGGCGCCGTTTCGAACAGACCCTGAGACCCGCCCAAACCAAGGAGCAGTTGAAGAGAAATGTTTTGTGTGGACTTGTCTTTAGTCATAGTCTTATTTAGGCTCAGTCAAATATCGCACACCCCATTGTGTCCACATTTCAACCAAGGTTTCAGACTCCAGACTCCTAAGATAAGGTCTTCGCCAGACCTACGCAGGCCGTTCATGACCTACATAGCCTAGCTTTCATTATAGGCCCTCTATGCCGATGAAGCCGTTGGAGAAAGAAAAAATCAAGTGGGAATGAGAATGTTTAACTGGCGCAGAAAGCGGGTAGGCCAAGTTTAATTGTGACCATGTCGAAAAGCATAGTTGTTCCCTAAGTATCAGTCCTCAGAGCATTCTAACAAAGCTTTAAGTTAGCTTGGGGGGGGGGTTTCAGTCCTGCCCCAATCCCGCTTTTTTTTCTTAGTAAGATTAGATACATTGAGGGAAATCTTGGGTTGCAGAATGGCAAACAGCATTTTCAAAGGTTGGTGGTGTAGAATGATGGAGTTTACAGCCAGTTGTGGAGGAGGCTGGACACAATAAGAGGACAAACTTGATATCTGGGGCTGTATTCAATATATTTCTTAAAAGTAAGCCTAGAACCCTGCTAAGGTGTCTGCTAAAGTTAGCAGGGTACTCAACTCAATCATTCAATATCCATCTTATCACACTGCTTATCCTAGCAGAGTGCTAAGGGACTCCGAGTAAGCATTACATCCTGGAACGACCCTCTGCCTTTCGTGTCAGCATGGAAGCCTTCAAATGAAAAGTGAATATCAGCCTACAAGAGCAAGTGGCTTTGTGATGGGTGCATGCCTGTGCCAAATGGTCTTGGTATGCATCTCCATCTGAATCTTCATTTTATTGCTCATCCATGAAGACATTCAAAGTCATGAAGTCCTCAGACCTTTTGTGATGGACAACACATGCAATGTTGTTATTGCTTGCCCAAGATGGAGTCATACAGGGCTCTGAATGTAGGCAACGAAGCCTCATTTTCCCCTACCCAAATATTACCTTCACCATGGTCGTCCTATGTGCTCCATTATGCCGCACTCATTGGCGAAAGTGAAAGCCACTTTCTTCAAGAGAGAAACCAGAAGCTTCTATACTTTGCAATTGGCCATACATGGAGCCTAGTGGAGTACCTGGACATCATGGACACCACTGGCCAGCGGGCAGACATAGCTCGTACATGTGATCTCATATTATTGAATGGAATCCCTTGTGATTGAAGAAATTAAGCTCATTAACTGAATACTGATGATCACATCAATCACACATGGGAATTGACCAAAGGCATCCCTTTCTTGTGATATCTGACCATCATCTGGTTGTGACACAAAATATGAAACCTTGCTCTCATAGCAAGTACAACCTTCCAAAATATCCTACTTGCAGAAATAGACTTCCGTACAGTCGCTCATTTAGCTGTATGAAAAGATCCTGTAACAAAGTGCTATGAACCAACACAGATTTGAATAACATGTGGTGATTCTGGGAACAACTGCTTCTATGTCCTCTTGAAGGCCAGTGAGGAAAACAATACTGCTCATCTCAAATCTGTAACGCTTGTACAAGTTTGAGTCGTAATAAGCATCAAACGGATTCCCAGTCGGCACAGTCACGTTGTGTCAATGTTGAGAAAAGGTTGAAATGTTGAGATTTGGTTAAAGTTGAAAATCCGATGAAGAATTGACATCAATGAAATGCTGGCTATTCGTAATTTAAAGTATTTGCAGCACATTGTGACTACTCGTAGATTAGTGAATTCGTTTATTAGCTATCAAGCACAAATCAAATATAATGAGAAAAGAATTGGTGTTTAATAGCCACTAAATGACTTTGCCAATCCACGGGTAGTCACAATATGCTGCAAATGCTGTTAATTATGAATAACCATGCATTTCATTGATGTCAATTCTTCATCGGATTTTCAACTTTAACCAAATCTCAACATTTCAACCTTTTCTCAACATTGACACAACGTGACTGTGCTGACTGGGTTGATTATATGGCGAAGAACTCTTTTGCAAACAAGTACCCTTCTTTAGAAGATATTTGGCACTTGAATAAAAGTGTTACTCATGTTATACACTAGTCCACTGCAGCTAGATGCTCTGCTTAAGAAGGATATTGAATAGGGTCATCCATGCAAGTAGGGTGCTTAGCCATGAAAAGTTATTGGCATGCTCAAATCTAAGATAAAAGATTGAGATAAGACTTATATTGAATACGGCCCTTGGATTCTGACAAGACCTAGCTAATGGATTCCAATGCCATTGGGAGATTTTCCCTAATCTAATCTAATCTATTGTGAGGCCTCAGAATTCCAGGAGAAACATTTCTTCAAAAGTGTGATTGCCTATAGGCCTGCAGCCTATAGATAGTTGTGCCATCAAATAGCACAGGCCTTTATAGGCGAAGGCCTTGTCCAGGTCAGCAGAGAAATGGAAAATTACTTAAAACTGGAGAAACTTGGTGAAGGTAAGATCAAAGTAATTAGCATCAAGTTACTTTGGGCTTCATCAGTCTGGTGCACACCTACATTGCACCAAATTGTTTATGTGAACACCAAGCTGATGTAGACTTGTAGCATTTACAAACATGGACTCCTTGGAATTTCCCCCCCCCCCCCATTTTATTTCCAGAAGGGAAATCCAGCATGGAATAAGAATGGTATTAATGGTACAGTTACTACTTTTGGACCATATTTCAGCATATATCTCTTTCACATTTTCCAAGATTCTACCCAGTATATTCAGGGGCAGATCATAAAAGGGCATGATCGGATGACATTCTTTGCAAGGCACGATCGTGCAATGTGGCCATACTGCAAATTGGGGATATCAGTTATCTTTTTTATCAATAGGATGAGATCAGATGACTTCTTCCTTTATGGCTCATGAGAGCATGTTCACATAGATGTGGTCTTGCTTGTTGCACAGATTAAATATGGTGCAGCCCAAGCACGTATAACGGGCTCCAGGTGGAATAAGGGCAAAAAAATAATTTATTGGTCACTGGCTATGGTAGCCACAGTGTCCACCAGACTGATGAAGCTTGATATTTCCATGATAGTTACAATAAATAATTTCCTATCTTGCTCTACAGGCACTTATGGTGTTGTATACAAGGCCAAGAACAAGAAGACTGACCAAATTGTTGCCCTCAAGAAGATCCGACTAGAGAACGAAGATGATGGTGTACCATCCACAGCCATTAGGGAGATTGCAATGCTCAAGGAGCTTCGTTCTCCTCACATTGTCAAGTAAGTAATGTTGGGGTGCAATCCTCAGCATTCAGAGAGTGTTGTTCATTCGACTTTCTCCTGTGGAGATGCATAATAGCTTCCTTGTAGAGATGCATTGTGTCTCATCCAAAGTGCAAAAGTCAGGATGCATAAGGTTAATATTTATTTTAACAAATATTCAAACTGCTCTCCATTAGTATGAATACATGTTTCAATTCTCTTTTCAAATGACTGTAGGACTTTCATTAAGGTCGGTCATGCACACTTCCAGTGTCTGTGTGCAACAAATTGATTTCATTGGCAACTGATTGGTATGTATTGACTTCTGTTGCATACATAGAAACTAATTGCACTCACTCGACTTTAGTCAATTTTCTAGCCATTCTCACCTTTCACCTGAAAAGGGAAAAATTAAATAAACAGTAAATTTTTCGTAATGCCCATGTGTCCTAACTTTTGCACCACCCTGTATATAACAAGACAAGACATGCCAAAGAGAAATGTGCTGCAGCTGCATGCCCAACAGAAGAAGCTGTCTCCATCAGGCCAACCAATGAATACATAACTTTCCACATTGTCACTTCACACTCCACTGGGAGTTTAGATGTTCACCACAGCAGTGGAGGCTTCATTCAAACCTGCATTGAAAAAAAAAGTATTACTTCATTAGAAGAGAATCTAAGTTCTATTATTTTCATATGCTATAGATGTCATTAAGGCAGTGGCAGCACCCTGGAGAGGGAAGCCTATGCCTACTCTTGCTTCACTGACTGACTATAGTACTTTGCAAATTTAATTTGTACCACCTTTTCCTCTTTGAAGGGAAAGAGTAGAAACCCAGTCTTTATTTTTGTTGCACTTCACAATGTGTGATCAGCATAGGTGTGTAACAGTTGTTTCATGTTGTGTTATGTCCCAGGGTCAACATGGGGGACAGAAAAATGCATCACACCTTCAGTTAGACCCCTCTAAATGGCCAATGGTCATCACCCCTGATTCATCAATGTGAAATGTGATTTCCAACCCTGCCCTTGGTCTTTTGGAGCATCTGAATCCTGAACATGCATTGACCATGACTGCTGTGTGCCTCAGTGAATACCATGCCAGGCTGAAAGGGTTAAATCAATTATATAATTATAACAGCTGCTGATGTAAATCTCATTCTACTGAGATTTGATAAAAAAGAGGTGGTAAACACATGCTTGGAAAAAGTGGACTGCTAACTTGTATGAACAAACCCAAGCATAAATCTGAGCCAGTTTGCAGGCCAGCCTTGGTCCAATTGAACAATGATCTTTAATCCTATTCAATGACAACTTCCTTGTTTCAATGGAGGATGATTTTCATTTCACCAAATGAAGAGTTCTTCAGCTTTAAAGGAAGCAGTTAGCTAAAGACCTTCACTGTAGTTCAAGGAGTTGCCCAGATTCTGATGTTTCATGTTAAGCTGTCATATAATTCCATAGAGGTCAAAGCCTCAACATGCTTTACATCTCACAAACCAAGAGTCCTACGACAGAAAAAACATTAGGTGGTTTTATTCCTCATTATTTTATTCCTCTATGCTAAATTTATTCCAGATCCATGATATGAACCCCATGAGAGGGGGTCATTCTTTTTTTGAAAGCACTTTATACTCCTGCATTACTGGAGGTCTCTGGAATCAGAGTCTTCATTTCATGTCATGGTGAATGTGTGTTTCACATTGTACAGGGTGTATCTAAAGTCCATACTTTTGGGGATTTTGAATTAATTAAAATTTTCAATGAGTGAGTGTGCCAAAATTAGTTCAGAGGTACTAATAAATATTCAGAGGGGGTTATGTGTCAGAATCAATATGTGTATGCAAGTTCATGGCATGCAATTTGAATATTTAATGAAATAAAGGTAAATAATGAAATTGCCTACGAGTCTGGACTTTTGATACACCCTGTATATTACAATGTAGTGTAATAGGATAGTGCTCATTATTGATGGCAATGACATATAGTATATCCCTTGGTAGCATCAGATAAAACCTCAATAATGATATTGGTAGAACTCACTAACAATTTTAATTTTCAGCCTTTTGGACATTATCATGCAAGAGAATAAGCTCTTCCTAGTCTTTGAATTCCTGGCAATGGATCTCAAGAAACTCATTGACCAATATCGCAACCGAAATCTTGAACCACAGCTAATCAAATCCTATTGCTACCAGGTGAGAAATGCTCCCACATTTATGACATGATGGGCAAAAAGAATCCTCTCATTGACTGAAGTCTTTCATAGATAACAGATGGGATCTTGTTCTGCCACAAGAGGCGTATTCTGCATCGAGACCTAAAACCACAAAATCTCCTAGTGGACAGGCTAGGAAACATCAAGATTGCAGATTTTGGTCTGGCACGTGCTATTGGACTCCCTGTGCGAGTTTACACACACGAGGTAAGGTCTCCTATAAGTCACTGCATCTCAATTTACCTAATTGATTTTTTAATTGTTAATTTGCTGACTTCAATTCTTCTCATTGCTGTGCAATAGGTGTTTGTAGTAGGAGTTGCTCTAACTTTTTTGTTCTAAACTTGTATTATGTCTATCGTATGCTGTAAAGTTTCTTGAATTTTATGGGCAGGGGCTTGTTTTGCCAAAAGTAGCTTTTCTTGAAATAATCATCTGGAAATTATTCCATACAGAAAAATCATATGATTTTATGAGAAGTGGGCATGTGTGATATATGGAACTTGTATGATCTGTCATATATGATATGTGGGATGTGCTGAAGGTTTCTAGCAGCACCCAAGCATCGAGACCAGTGAGAGTCCTCTTCATTTCATTCTATATGATAGCATGTTTGAACATGTCGGGTGGTTTGGTTTCCGTCAACTCATTATGAGTCATTCTGTATGTGCTGTATAGTATGAGGTGGTTGCGATCACGACTACTGTCAGTGACAATCTTCAGTAGTTGGCATTACAGATCATGAAATTAAAAAAATTTTATCATGGCTTGTCGACCAGTGTCATCAAAATTTGCGTTGAGCCTTTGGGGAATCTGGGCTATCATCTGCAACTTTTGGGTTCTGGCTCAGAGAGCTGAAGTGAGGACAGCAGTCATTTGAAGATGATCTACTGTCTGGGCGACCCTCATCAACCTTGACCTTTGAAAATGTTTGATGGGTCAATCACAAGGTGAGGGAGCAAAGAAACATTCCCCTGTGTGATTTCATGGAGAAACTGAATATTGGATCAGCAAAGGTACAAATGATCCTACATGAACACCTGAGCAATATGAGACCAAAGTGTACTGGGTTCAATTCATGCTGAAAATATTGGACAAAGGAGTTCAAAGTTGGGAGTCAGAAATCAGCACAGTTGATGAAACCTGGAGGTATGGTTATGACCCTGAAACAGAGTAGCATTTGACGGAATGAGTCTTCAAAGATCCTCCCACCAAAGTGGTTTGATGGCAGAGTGTCAAAGTGTACAGTGACTTCTGATTGGCAAGTTGTCTGCCTGCCTGCAATGTTTCAGGAGCTCAACAATGCCCATCCACAAACTGAACTTCATGGCATCATGCTGCAATATGGCAATGCTAACTCCCACACTATTGCCAGAACTGTTGAATTTTTGCATGATTCAGGGGGTTCCACATCCACCATACTCACTGGACATGGCCTTTTGTGTTCCCTAAGGCCAAAGAGCTGAGGATGAAGGTTTGAGAGTAAAGATGCCGCCATCTTTTGATGACCTATTGAACTCCTGCTGAGGTCCTGGATAGGGTCCCTCTTGAGGAGTCGTAGTCTTGTTTTACAAATTGATTTTACTGGATGACCCATACCATCAAAGTTTGTGGGAACCACTTTGGGAAAATTTGAATTAATAATGAAATAAAACTAGCTAGAAACTCTCAGCACACTTTGTGTACATGAACATATATGGAAGAAAATATCTGATCATATCTTCTTATTGAAACAATAAGTGATCATATGATCAATGATCATACATGGCTAAGCCATTTAATAATTTTATAATAAGCATGTACTTAAAAGATATGGAGGAGCAGGTAAGATATTCCTTATGGTTACAGTATGTCTATCTAGTATATAGTGGAGCATATACAAGGTGTGGCTATTACGTTTCCAAACTTAATTTTTTTTATATATATTTTTTAACTCAAATTAATCACATTTATCGCCTTCAAAGTACTCCCCTCCACAACTTATACACTTATCCCAACGATGCTGCAATTGCTGGAAACAGCGGTGGAAGTCTTCTTTCTGGATGTCTTTCAGAGCCTGCATCACATTTGTTTGAATGTCTTCAATGCTTTGAATCTGTGGCCTTTCAAAAAATTTTTGACTTTGGGAAACTGCCAAAAGCCACTGGGGGCTAAATCGGGCGAATACGGCAGGTGATCCATTTGGCAGCCAAAAACTCTCGGACAGACAGGGCTGTGTGAGCCGGCACGTTATCGTGATGCAGGATCCACGAGTTCTCCTTCCACAGATTGCCCCTTTTCCTCCTCACAGCCTTGCGCAACCTCTTCAAAACGTTCTTGTACAACATCTGGTCATCTATTTGTCCTTCTGGCACAAATTCTGAGTGGATGATTCTGTTGACATAAAAAAAAACAAAAACAAATCAGCATCGTCAAGATTTTCAACTTCAACATTCGGGCTTTTTTCTGTCTCGGTGAATTTACAGTTCCCCATACTAGGGATTGACGTTTCGTTTCCAGATCATATTGATAACACCATGTCTCATCTCCAGTGATGATTCTTTCCAAAATATTTCCTTCTCCAGCTCTTTCTGGGAGAACCAAACAAACATCCAATCGCCTTTGTTTTCATTCAGCTGTCAGCAACCGAGGCACCATTTTTGCTGTCACCCTTCTCATGCTCAAATCATCCTTCAAAATCCCTCGAAGTTTCTTTATCTAAATTCAGCTCTTCAGCTATCATTCTAATTGTCAACTGTCTGAACACACCAAATCTGTAACTTTTGAGACATTTTCAGGTGTTCATTTGGTGATTCGTGCTCCACAATGCTGGTCATCATTGACGTCTTCTCTTCCCTCTTTAAAAAACCTTTTATGCCACAAAAAAACTTGCACTCTTGACATGGTATGATCACCATAAACTTTTCTTAACATTTCAAGCGTTTCGGTTGCGGATTTCCCCAGTTTAACACAAAATTAGACTTAGTTCTCTGCTCGAGATTACGCTCCATTTCAAATCTGCCAGCGCACACAAATACAGTCTACCTTAACGGGCTGCAGCTCACAGCGCACTGGTCAGACCACATTGAAACTTGCCCAGTTATTAGCTAAGGCTCCCCTCCATGTTACTGTCATAGCCCCACTCCCCTCCTCTCTCTCAAAGTTCAGCAATAAAACCAGTCTGGAAACATAATAGCCACACCTTGTATATCACACCTGATAAGAGATGTGGCCAAATCAGGTATGAAACATACAGGAAATCATGTTACTCTCACATGTCTCTCCCAAATATAAAAAAATAACTTCAGGAACTAAGCTGAGAATTGGCACTTCATCTGTCACTTCTGTGAAAATACAAAAACATTCACTTCCATCATAGCACAAGTAACATCCCAGAGATAACTACTAGGGACTTCTCAGTGATATCAAAATACCTGGGTGCCTTTCTTTCTGAAACAGACTCATTTCCTGTCATATGGGACAACCCTTTAAAAATAAAGTATAGTATTCTTTGACTGAAGATGTCCTTAAAATACCCCATAAAGACCTTGGGAGAAGTCATCCAGTTAGAGACATCCCTAGGATATGACTGTGCTGTGTGGGTATGACAATACCATATAAATTGTTTACTGTACCTTATGCATATGGGATATATATTTCTAGAGATATATTTTATCATGAAAGCATGCATGCTGAACATGTATATACAGTATGTGAAAGTCCTTTATGCATACTTAAACCAGGTACATCATCATATGTGCAGAAGTCTATCCCACAAACCTCAGAATTATTTTAAGTAGAACATATATGCTACCCAGATATGTTTAATTTATAAATAATCCCTACATGGATCATATGCTTAAACTGTATGTCAGGGGTTGCATAAGGTTTCTTGCCCTAGCCTCCTGCCCCAGGATGCACAGGCAGAAGACCTAAGACTGCTGGATTGAATATCATACTGCTTGGTTATGTTAGGTTGGCAAATAAACATGGATTGCTAGACTTAACTTTTGGGGAAGTGGTTCCACCAACAACAAAAATAAACTCTGAAGAATACTGAATTTTGGCATGTGACACTTTCTCATTAACCACTGTAAATTTCTGTTTGGAGAAATCCCAATAATTCATGTATCATTGGTATTATGCTTGCCACCACTCTTGAAATAGAGGGTGTTTCAGAAGTAACTTTGCACTGAATCGAAATAGCTATTTTGCATTTTCAGCAGTTGCTATGGATTTGCTGCTGAACTGATAATGAATTTAAGTTCAAAATGGCCTTTTTTAACTCTGATCTGTTTTGTGGTGTTTTTGTTGCATTTAATCACTGGCAAAGAATGGGTTTTTCTGAATGACATCTTTCTGGATATGACTGGTTATGTCTCTACTGCACAGTTACTTTTGAAACCCTGTACAATAATTGGCCTGGTTTTTTTAGGCAGACTAGAGGAATTGCAAATTGCAGAATCACAAAAATCTTGTGACCATTTCTACAGTCATCTTTGCATAGTCATGAAAAAAAAGGTTTTTCTTTATCAAATGCTGATCTTGGTCCCCTGCTAAGGCTCAGGGACTTTTTTAAAATTAACATCTCAGATTTTAAATGCAAGTGTATCCATAACGATCCATGCTCACTCAAGTGTGAGATGGTGCTGAATGGTTGGGCATTTTATGTGATTTTTTTGGTCATTTTTACCAGGTGTTGCAAGAAAAAGGCACTTCTTGAAATTCTAATCTTCAAAAATTTATTTTTTGTGAGGATTTCTATGTACCCACTTAACATTCTAAAGTTTTGACTTGTTTTCCCCTGCTATATTATTTCAGGTAACCACAAAAGTTTTTGCCGTTTTTAATATTCATTAAAAAAGATCAAAATTCGTATTAAAAACCAATTTTATTCAGCGAAACAGTTTCCATTTGATTCATTCACCTTTTCCCATCTTGAAACAAGCCTATAAATACCATTCTTATAGAAGTCCCTGTTTTTGAAAGAGAAGAAAGCCTTTATAGCAAGTTCTTGGCATGTTCACCTGCTATCCTCTTCAATGGCAGATCTCAAGGCTTCATTGTCGATGGTCACAGGATGGCCGCTACATAGTGCATCTTCAAGCGATTCATCCCTGATTCTGAATTTTTGGAACCAATTTCTTGCTGTGCGTTCTTTTACAGCATCCTCTCCAAATGCTAAATATATTCTTCTAGTGGCTTCTGCAGCAGTGTTACCAAGTTTA